TAACGGGACTTCGCAATATGTGTGAAATCCCCCTAACCCGCAGTCATTTTGCGCTTTGCGGCTCCTCCGATATTTGATACTGAAATGTTTTCTATGTGTCTATTTGGGCGTGCTTGCTTATCCCGTACTCAGTGTTTCCGTGCATTATTTATAAGTTTATTTCGTCCATTTACGTCATTGGTACGGATTTCGTGACCACGGAGTTTTATGGGAACTTCCCTTACCGCCATCATATGCTGCATCGCGCCTGTCCTTTGCAACTTGACCATCCACTGACAGATCGTGCCTGTTGTGTCCCATCCCTAAGTCAGATGTTTGAGTGCTTGTTTACTCGTCGATTGGCCGGTTTTAAACCGATCTGTTCAACTTGCAACTTACACGGCTCGTGGCGCTGACGATTACGTATGCGTCAACCGTTTGAGCGCTTATCCTGCGCTACTTGCTCTCGACCTAAGAATGCATACAATTGAGGTCTGTTCTTGTTCTGTGGGCAGTCTTTGGGCCCACTTTGTGTTTTGAGTAATTTGGAATCGCTTCTATGCATGGCTGAACGACAGCGGCTTCGTCGTTACAGATAGCTTTCGCTTCACTACCCAGAGCTCCATCGACACACCCCATATCTAGTGTAAATCCGAAAGAATAAGACTAAAGAGCATGCAGATGGGAGGCACGATTAATTCGGAGCCCAGTCACACCCCACCGACATACACACCATTCATTTAAACTGGAGTAAACATGTATGCCAGGCGTACACAGGGCGGTGGCTCATCCGTAAACCGATCCACACTGACCGAAACCGCTTTGATCTTAGCACTGCCTGACGTCCCCATGATCGATTAACAGTTTCCTGGAGCCAGCAATCAAGGTGGCGGTTTTCGACAGCTACGCACTATCGACATTCGCATTAAGCTTAACTAGAATGGGATATCAATAAACAAACACAGTCAGACATGCGTCGAATTAAACACACAGTCATACGCACCGACCAATGATAGCAACGATACAGCACGCGTGCCACATCTGCCGCATTATTGGCATAGGTTAGGAACTAGAATCGAAAGCATGGAATTTACCATACAATGTCACTTACCCATCACCTCCTTGATACTTGCCACTCGTGACCGCGTTATTGATGTGCCTGAACGACTCGGTTGAGGCGCACACGACGGCATGCGCTGCAGCATCGGGTATATGACTTCATTGGACTGGACTTCATCGGCACCTGTGGTATCCGCAACCGGCGTTTTCCTTCTTGATGCAACGGTCCTTTCTCTTGAATCTAGGCAATGGCATTTTTTGTGTGATCACGACATTGACGACGATCACCTGTCACTGCTTCCCAATACCTAAAGTAAACAGTTATTCGTGATAAACTCACTTTGATCACGTCCTAGTAAGTCGTCTCGGATTGCTCATATTTCGCTTCCCTGCACGCAGTTGGCCATACAGCAGATGCTTAGGTATGATGGCTGCATCCATACGGTGGAATGTTTGCGCTACCTAAGATATCTAGGCAGTACGCAGTCTACTCTCGTCTGGCGAAGCACTCCTGTGTGCGGTGCTCATCCACACCAGCGAATTGTTGGTGTCTGACGCACTCGTTATACATGAAATGTCGGGGCCTGTAACATCCTGCGATAGTGAAGTACGACACCACACTTGCTTTGTACTGCATCCGCCTTCGTTTGTGACAGCTTACAAACGTGCCAAAACTCACTGAACAGATTAGCACTGACTGTCAATCGTTTTGCACTTTGCTTCGTGAAGATTTCTCCAGGATTGGCAGGGTCCTGTCACTCCTGTGACTCGTGATGGGCAGCATCTAGAATTCGTTCAGAAATTCAGCCGCCACCTGAGCGGCTATATCAGTGCCTGTGGAACAGAAAATAAAGCGACAAACCGTATTGCCGTGGCTCGAGGTGCCTGCGCGGCATCACACTTGCCATGAACAGTAGAATTGACAATACGACCGCCTGTTCACTCCTTCTGCACGGTTACGAAATCTGGCCCATCAAATCAATAGAGTTAAAGAGGCTAGTTGCCTTCGTCCATCACTGCCTACGCAGTTTAGCTCACATCTGATGGGAACACCGTTTGAGCAATGCGCGTGTTCCGGGTCGTGTATTAGGCGCAGGAAAAGTGTGTGAACCTCTTAGCGTTATTATTTCACCCACCAGGATCCGTTGGCTGAACCGTGTGTTGCACATGCAAACACGTCGACTCTCGCGACATACATTTGTGCGACCGGAGTGTGGATAAAAACAGAGGAGATCCAAGCGATGACTTGGTCAAGGGAATGAGAGCCCTCACTTCGAAGTTGGTCTCGGCTCCCTGCTTGGGATCCAAATGACAATGTCAACCTTTGGTTGATCACACCTGTTGACATAGCGAAAAACCGATCTCAATGTCGTTTGCGTTGTAAGGTTCTCTTTTTTACCGTCTCTCATTTTTATATACGTTAGCTGAAAGTGGAACACACCCCAGCTATTATGCCGCAACACAAGAAAATACATACGACAGAGGCACGCCGGTTGAGTCACCAGTAACGAATGGACATCGTTCTGGAGGGCTAACAGCCGGCTATTGTGCCGTAAAAAGAGTTGTATTATGCGTAATAAATTAGATCGCGGTTGGAGTGGGAGGCTAAGCGGAAGGAGCGGGACTAAGAAACTCACAATACGAACGTCACTGAGGTCGGCTCCTAGCCATCACAGCAAGTGTATTCAGCCAAATGCACTCATCGTCCTTCGGTCCTCAACCAGGAAGCCGGGAGGCTCAAACCGAGGCCAACTTCGAAGTAAGGACTTTCATTCCTCTTGACCAAGTCATCGCTTCCATCCACATCCTCGGCACGCAGACAATGCACGTCGTGGGAGTCGGTGGACTAGCATGCGCTACACGTGGCCCAGCCATCGGAGCCTGGTGCGTGAAATAACGGTGTTGAGCGGTTCAGTTTTTTTCCTGGGCCATAAACAAGACGTCGAATGCGCTCGTTGCTTACGCGGTGTTCCCACTAGAGGTGAGCCAAACTGCGAAGGCACCAATGGTCGAATGTAACTAGCCTCTTTATAGCGGCTGATCTAAGCGGCTAGGTTTCACAACCGTACACTAGGGTTGAACGTACCGCTGCGTTATACGCTCTACCCTTCAAAGAGTGATGTCGCGCCGGCGCCATAGGCGATGAAAGTTAGCGAAGATGCCGCGTGATTTTGCTATAGGGTTTGTGACCTCGTCTTCAATTCCAACTGCGCTTATAAAACCGCCTAGGTAGTTTTTTGCATGACTCCTAGCTGGTCCCCACCAAGTGTCAGCACAGGAGGCGGTCCCCGCCAATCTTAGAGGAAAGCTTTACACTTTGAGCGTGCGAAGCATAGTTCGAAACGGTTGGCAGCCAGTGCTAATATGTCCAGAGCCGTTTGGCACGTTTGTGAGCTGCCACAGATGAGGGCAATATCGTCAGCATACTCCAAGTCAAGAAGCCGTTCATATGGGAGCAACGCCACACATTCTAAGTCGTGTCCAGTGAGGGCGCTCTCCATGACTTCGTCAATAGCGAAGGTGAAGAGGAAAGGAGACAGCAGACATCCTCATCTTACACCGCTGAAGATAGTGAAGAACAGCGACAGCTTGCCGTAAGCCCTCACTCTGCCCGAGCTACGCGAGTCAAGTGCTCGCCCGGGCATACCTTTCCTGAGTAGACGGTCCCAAAGGGCACATCGAGCAAGCGAATCGAAGGCACCCTTGATGTGGAGGAACACTAAAACGATGGGCCGCCAATATATGTGACCGTATTCCAACAACTGACGTAAGGTGAGTACGTGATCGATCGGGCCTCGACGACCAAACCCGGCTTGCTTTTCACGAATCTGGCTTTCACTAGGGCTATTCAATCTGTGAAAGATTACAGAGACCTCTGTTTTAGTGCAATCACGATCTCGCCCCTGATGAACATTTAAGCAAAGGATGTCTTTTGTTTTTATTCGTTCTTTTGTTTTTATTTTTTACCGTATTTGTTGCTATGGTGTTTCTCACCTGGCCATTGTGTAACCGTAATGGTATTATGAATGCGGCGGCCATTTGTTTGTATGGCATTAAGTCCTGGAGATGTTGACCTAAGACGTCTCACTTGTGTGTTCGTCTTTGATGGATTCCATCTGATTTGTCAGCCTCGCACATACGAGTTCCTGTCAGTGTAGCACGGTCTCGTTTCCTTAGCACATTTGCATTCTGTTTATCACGTTACTGATTCCTGATAGAGTTTCTGCGGTTTCTGTCTTTCAGTTTTCTTCTACCGTTCTGCTTTTTCGTGTCCAGACGACGAGATCCGTCTTGTATTAGCCCTCCATGTTTTGTCCGCGATTATGGTTGTTTAGCTGTTTTGGTCACTGCCGTTCATCACTACTCTTAACTAGTCGCGGTTTACGTTACAGTAGTTTGAAGCGTGGTCCATCCTTAGCCTTGTAGATTTTGTTTAGACGGTACTGTTACATGGTCTTTTGCTTAATGCACTACCTGGTGCACCACTGTAATGCCACGTACTAAGGTCACCCACCTCCGTATTGCACCTCTTCGTCTCATCCATACTTTGATCATCTGCAAGGTGCGTGGCGCTCCCAGGTATTCAGTCCATACGACTTTTGGTACGTATTGGTGAGCACAAGCGTATTTTTTGCATTTCACTTCTTCATGCTGACTCCATTATCGTGTCATCACGTTTGTGCACTCCACTCTTTAGTTCTGCAACCTGTCTTGCTTATGCTCAACCCTTTGTTCACCCGCATCGAATCGCCGTTTGGCAATTTGAGCGCTAACCTCGATTGGATTACTGGTTCGCGACATCCTTCGGCGCATCGATCTGGTTATGTTTGGCACTGTTTTCGTCACCACGATTGCATTCTGTCAGGAAGAACATTTAGGTACTGTGCTTCCTTGGCAACTTGTCCACCAGGTTCGTGTTAGATGCACACCACTTGCACTCATTTTTCTTTCTTTTATCGCAGGCTTGTTCTGGAAACTTTGCCTTTTCTCCAGGTGGGCGATACCTTGCATTGCTGGAGCGTCGAAGTTTTCACGATTATTTGAGTATTTTTGATTGCCGCGCGGACTGGAACTTACTGCGAAATTTTCAGCTGGATACGCATGACTCCGATGGTTTGCTGTGGTCTCCTGACGGCCGTTATCTTGTCATTTGGGATGGATGCCTGCATTATCGAGCCGCAGTGTACACTCTCGATGGTCGCCACTTGCACACTTTTTCGGCCTACGAACCTGGGCGTGATTTTCTCGGTATAAAGTCTGTTTGCTGGTCTCCAACTGGACAACTTCTGGCTATTGGCAGGTGTGTCTTGATCGATTACCTCTTCGTTTATCGAACTTGTCATACTCTACCCTTGTATAGTCACACTTTGACATTCGACTCCGCCAACTTCACCTTCCTGTCTTTCCTGTCTGTAAATATTGTTAGATTACGTCAAGTTTGTTCTAGCCTTATTCAACGGCGATAGGTGAGTGATTGCACTCCAACATAATATTTCCACTCTTATCGTTTCATTCCTCATCATTTATTTACCTACGAGTTGTCTGTACAATCATTCTCTTGTTTGCATGCACATCTGGGCGCGATCGCCTTCCTATTGTCTATCTTCTTGAAGACCTACGAAGTGGAATAAAGGTGTGGTTCCGTTCATGTACCACGTTCCAGCACGGTATACTGATAGGCCTGATGTCTTCTGGGTTCTGCTTCTCATGACTACAACGGGTAAACTGACTTTATCAAGTCAACAAGTTAACAATGAGCTTTATGCACCCATGATGCTCAATCTCGACCAAACTTCCTTCACAGACATCTATTCACCAAACACAAAATGGGCTGTACCTGCGTTATACATTTCGAACAACCTCCTCGTGGTGGCAGCTGGGTGGTTCGGGATTTTCCCGTTCCAGCAAATGGTTCGGCGGTAGTGTTCCAGAACGTGGTGGGTTTTCGCCTGGCGAGCGTTCTCCCTACAAAAAGCCACATATGTCCGTTTAACAACACTGTGACGTAGCGGACGTGACTCGCCACTAAATAAAGTCACTGCCCCTTGCTTCATTCTGGCGAAGCATTGTATTCCAGCAACATCATGCTGTACTTCTGGGGAGCATTGGGCCCCTGTTTGACAAAGGAACAAACGAAAGACGTATGAACTGAGCAATTAGTCACCGGCTCCCAATGGGCGCGATTCCCTGAATTCGCTCCGCTGCCTGGCGGACAGGCTATTCTGCCAAAGGCTCGGGGTGGTGTCCCCTAAGTCAACACCCTACTTCGGCTTGGGAAACCGGGTAGTATCTCGCCCTCTGAGGAAACCATGGACATTGTTGTGTTGTTGTGTTTTATTATACTATTTCTTTACCTTTATTTGAATCCCATGGTTTCTGATGGCATTATGTCTATTCGTAAACTTTTGCAAATATATATATATATACGTATATACGTATATATATACATTTTGAACTTTCGGGCATCCGGCCATGATCAAGTTCTGTCAAATAACACTACTTGGCTTTACGTTGTTTCAAGCAAATCGAACTCGGTTTCGACTTATTTCGAGCCTGTCCATCTAAGAAAGATAGACAAACTGTCCCTTCTACAAATCAACGCTTGTGTCTACCGTTGCCGTCTTACGCTTTGTCTCTAGACATGGTTGGCGGCATCCGGTTTCGGATTTGCCTGTCACTGTGGCCAGCCACAGGACGCCTGCGCCTACAGAGGGACCACGGGTGGCTTGCGCTGCACCACCCACAGCTCCAACCACACACCCCATATCCAGTGTAAACCCGAAGGAATAAGACCGGGAGGCATGTGGATGGGAGCCACGTTTCATCAACGGAGCCGGCCCACACTCCTTCACAGGCAAACACAAGCACGCTGTATTTGGGAATCAGTCGCACACGATGCGGTGGCTGGACCGTAGTCCGCTCCACACTGATTGCATGGAACCACTCTTCGAGCCTAGCACGGCCACAAGTACCGTGCACCCCGTCCTCTCCAGCAACGACCAACTGTCTCCTAGAGCCAGTATGGACGAGGTAGTGGGTGATAGACAGGTAGGCACCTTGTCAACATGCACATCAAGCGCAGCCACACCTGGGATGTCAAACAACAATCAATCACTTAAAATGACATTATCAAAACAAATATGCATATGTTTAATAATACGACTATGCAGACATAACTCTCCCCTAAATAACCATATGAAATAAGTTGGTTATCAACGAATCCGCGATGAGTAGTAAATGTCCCAAAATTACTCAAAAAATAATAGAAACGCAATAAGGTTAACGAAGATAACCACCATTAGCGTAAACAACGTGGCCAGTTAATAGATTATTCAGGTAGAGAGAACAAAACAAATAAAGTGAAACGAAATTTATCCAGCTTAAAAATACCTAATTTAAGTGTAAGTTGATTTAGCCCAACTGCGGTGAAGAAGCATCATATATATATACTCAGCATGGGGCATACAGACACACACATACTTTGCTACATACACTCATATACACTCATCACATGGATTCACATGCTAGTGATAAACCTGTACCCTTATTTATATTTACCAGTCCTTAGTGTTTGTATCCTCATGATCATGCTTTGACAGGCGTGTCTCGCATTGCCGAGAGAAAAAGCTCATTTATTACAAAACGAACGAAAGTGGTCACGTTTTGAACCACAGCTTCCGATGGAGTACCTAAACAACCGGCTATACTTCAGCAGCATCACCTGAGCAGGAAGAGACACAGAGGCAGATGGCCAACTGAAATGATTTCGAAAGTACTCCGTCCAACGAACCACACGGTGCTCCTTATGGTGTATAGGGCGCCCATTCTGTATCTAACTGTCTCACTGAAGTTTGGTTTGCTAGGAGCAGTCATACCGGTCAGCTGAAAAAGATTGCGATAGTTGAATAATGCTCTTGCCTCCCCAGTTTCTTGAACATTACTGATACACCAGACTACCTTTTCAGTTCACAGGCTCCACATTAGCTCGCGCCTAATAGTCCGTGTGACTACATAAATGGGAGTTTCTTGTTGGATCAAAAATGTTTACCGACTTTTCGGATATCCAGTGACTGGTGAGGTGACGATTGATAGTGCCGAAAGTACATGTTTCAGTGTCGAACATGACAGCCTAGGTTCTGTTCCACTAAAGCGAAAAGCAAGTAGGCGGACGCTCAGTACGCGTGGCATCTTGGAAGGGCTGGGATAACTTCTGTTATCAATTGTAGATGGTGCTTTGTATGCCTCCCAGCAAAATGCATGGAAAAACAACAGCGTACCGAAGCATGTTTAGAGTCGACGAGGGTACCCCATAACGAACGATATACCAGGATAGAACCACACCACCTGTAGCATATGGCAACGTGATCTATTTGGGTCCATCGCTGGTCGGCTAGAGGACAACGCTAAGTGGCACTTCGACGCCCGCTGTGACTAAAAGCGGTGCTACCAAAAAAAATAACCAATGTTACGTGCTCAGTTGCACAGACGTTCGCCGTTGTCCGTCCGGTTGGAGTTAAGACCATACTTACTACCTATCCGAGCTTCTGAAGAGTTCGGACGCCCGAATTGCGCAGTTCTATATTCCGCAAAAGCAACGATATCTGAACTGATAGGACTGTAAAGCAACGTGTTCAGTTCGTATAGAATCCGTCCTTGACAGTGCTATTTTGTGAATCAGCCATAGTTGGCATCGTCAAACGGGCTACACACGAACGGACGCTCAAGGGATTTCAATCAATCAACGATGACAGCCTTGGAGCGGAGGATGACGACTATCCCAGGTTGACCAGTGATTGCCGCATCACCGTCTCCGGATGCATGCAACCAATAGTGAGAGGATAAGCCAGGCGCGATTAGTCCACCAAGGACATGAGTCATTGATTTTGTTTTCGGACACAGCATACGTCGGTAAGCAATGTGTCCAACATCCTTGCGAGCGCAGCCTGTTGACCTAGCTGTCTTAGAGTGCGAACGTCGAAGGCCACCAGGGAAAGGGGACAGTGTGCCCTTATACGGTGCTGTTGGCGATAGGCGTCCAGTGGATGGTGCGAGAAGATAGCTATAGATGATATGACTCCAGTGGTATTATGGCTGCTGTCATTTAAGTTGGGAATTTGGAAACATGAAATTCCCTATAAATTCAAATAAGAATATCAGAAGACGGAGGCTGTGGGATGACGTGTCATTTTGTGCATTCTCGTTGGCCAAGTAGCTGCAAATGACAAAAGAACCAAAATAAGGTGACATGAAAACGATTGGTGGTAATCTGATTGGTGCGTTACTAGTTAAAACGGTAGCCATACTGTCAGCTGTTTTTGAACACAGAGTGCTGGGCGCCGTCGATCGATAACAACGGCCTCGAGGAGCCTGAGAATATGATGCCTGACTACGCATGAGGAGTGTGAATGACGCATTCGTGTTTAAATGGTGTCCAGTGTTCACTAAATGCCTCGTAATTGTTGGGGCAACCTTGCTTCTCGAGTCGCCTGATGCAACCGTCGCGTGTTCCATTGCCACTTTGGAATGCGTTCATTGATTCTAACACTTAAATTTCGATTCGTGCGCCCAACATGATTGTCTCCAAGCTACATGTGAAAGTGCACAGGCAATGGGAAATGCACTGCTTCGGCACCGGGGTCTTCACTAAACACTTAAGCAGTGGACTTCTGGGAATCAGCAAGCGTAGCTCTGCTGCGTTTTATGCCTCATGAAAGTCGCCGCGAAACAAATAAGCGAGCAAATGAAAAAACAAACCTATTTGTAAAATCAACCGAATGTCCACAAATCTAACTGAAACCATGACTTCTCGATCGGTTCCAAGTATATTCTAACGGCTGAGTGACATTAAGGCAACCGTGGTAGCGAGTAACGCACCAATCAGATAACCCCAATCGATTTCGGGTTACCTTATCTTGATTGCTTTGTTATTTGCATGTACGTGGCCGACGAGAATGCACGAAATGACGGTGTCACCCCACAAAGCTCATCTTCTGATATTCTTATTCGGAAGTTGGGAATTAAAGAAGGAAAGCTAGTAAAGTGGGCTGGGGGAGAGTAAGAAAAACTCGTGGATAGAAAAGAGAGGAGGCGCCAGCAGGAGTAAGTTCTCGCTCACCCGCCCTGCAGTATGCAGCAAATAAGGCGACCCTTGGTAATCTGCGCAACGGCTGATGTAGGATATGGTTGAAGTCTGAAGAAATAGTCATGGTTGTACGTGAGCTGAGATACTGTCAGGGCGCCAAGACCTAGACAGGAGAACGATCAGTGTCCTCAATCAAACGCTTTGGCTCAAATACCTGT